CGATATATATATATATATATATATATATATACCAGCCACCTATGGCATGGATGTATTTATGACACCATATAGCACATTTTAAAATATGACTTAGAATTGTGTACATTATGATTCGAATTTTTTTAAGCGTGTTTGATCGTATAGAAATTTATTTTATGCATGAATACTTCGTAGTCTCATTTGCCGACAACCAAATTCCTCGACTTTATCCAAGTTGGGAGGGGGAAGAAAGTATGTGGCACTTTCCATCATAAGAAATATGAGGCAATGACGAGTGCCGTGGGCACATCAACCACTTAGGGCGTCAACGTGTCAACCATCCGTTAAAGGAAAAGCATCCGAGTGTCGTCCTCTTCAATTTAAGTGGGAGATTCGTCCTCTTCAATCGAACTCCGTGAGACTTGGGATCTTTAGAGAGACTGCCTCACGCAGCAACTTCCTTCTTTTCCTATTACTCGGAGATAGTTTTGCTAATTTCGATGACCTAAGGGTGTAGCTGACGTTAGCCACCGCGAGATGGGAAAAAGAACCAAAGAAAACGAAGACTCAACGGAGAAAATTCTAATTCCTTTCTGTTCACAGCTAATATGTATATTTTAAGAAGATTATGGTTTTCCGTTAGTTTAATTCTGTCATATGTATAAATGAAAAAAAAGAAAATGAATTTCCAGAAAAGGATTTTTATTTTTTTGAGATGATCATATTTTTAGAATTTTCTAAAAACGTCCCTTCACTTTGTGTAATATTTAAAATACTCTTATTTAACAGTAAGTCATTTATATCTTTTCTTTTCACTTCATTTTGTTACAGATCGATCTAGTAATAATATATATATATATATATATATATATATATACGTTTGTTGAGATTTGAAATTTCTTCTTAAGCAATTTGATGACTAAAATATTATATTTAATCGCCTTCTGTTTACGGCGAAAAGTCTCGTCAGCGAGAGAGGAAGGAAGATTCCTCTTTTAAATCATTCTCAGCTTTAGCGAAAAGCCTCAGACAGTGAGCGGCCAAGTAGACGCTTCTTTCCAACCCTCACCTTCAACCCGGTCTCCCTCCTCGGAGCTGTCTCGTCGATCTCGAATCCCATGGCTTTGATCGAAGCTTGGCGATCGATTGACTGGGAGCGAGAATCGTACCCGGCCTACGAGGATTTCTGGGCGATGCCCTTCTTCGCGTTGCTCTTCCCCGCGGTCAGATTGTTCCTCGATAGGTTGGTGTTCGAGGTCAGTGATTCACAACTTGCGCCCTTGCCTCTGTTCTGATGCCTTCAGCCTTTTGACCAATTTTGATGGAGACCGTGCGGGAAAGAACTGATTTTGATGTAATTTGTTGTAATTATTAGTGTTAGATCTCTTTGCTTTGTTCTTTTGAAGTTAGGATTAACCGAGGGTGAGATCACGTTCCACAGTCGTGTATGAACTTTCTGGAAAATTGTGGAAATTTCTCTACTGTTATTCTTATTTTGGTGGATGGTTTTGTTTTTTATGAGGAATCAGTATATAATGAAGGAAGAATATGTTTTCTGGTGACAATCTTAAACAGAAAAGGGTTATAATATCACCAAGAAACCTATCACCCATGTTAATCTTAAGAGTAAAAGAAACCCTAAAACAAATCTTACATGACATCATGTGGATTGAAATCCAGAGAAGCATATAACCAGCCTCCTGAAATTTCAAACTAAACCTATCTATCCGCTATCCAACAGTATGCACCGACAAGTCATTTTAATGCTTATATTTTATGTACATTCTCAAATTATACAGCTTTATTATGTCAGACTAGATCTGTTGTAGTTATAGAGTGTCAATGATGTTTTGTTTGAAATGCAATAGAGTCCTGCTGCTTGGTTGGAGGTCTTTTTCCTGAGCTCATGAAATCATCTATTCTTTCACTTTTCAGATAGCTAATTGAAGATATTCCATATTGGAAACAGATGAGGATTCTGCTGAATCTAGGATAACACTAATTAGAATTCATACTGAACTTTTGGTGCAATTTAAGAAATTACTGGGGATTTGCTACATGAAAATTTACCAATCTTGTCAATGATTAACTGATTGAGTTGTTTGGCTTGTACAATTGGTACTACTTTATATTTTTTTTATTTTCATTTTGTAATATCAAGTGTCTGTTACTTATTGTGTGCTTTTCATAATATCTTTGTTTTCTGTAGAAATTAGCAAGGCGAGTTATACAGCAAAACTCGATCGAAAAGCTCAAGGTTGAAGTAGACAACAGGAGAAAAAAGATTAATAAGTTTAAAGAGTCAGCTTGGAAGTTTGTTTATTTTCTTTCAGGTGAGCTGCTAGCTCTATCAGTTACATATAATGAGCCTTGGTTCACCAACACAAGATACTTTTGGATGGGGCCAGGAGATCAGGTCTGGCCAGATCAGAAGACAAAGTAAGATATGTCCAAATCAGTTGCTTAGCAATTAATGTTCATTTATGGATGGTGTCATGGTTTTAACTTATTTATTTCCTGATTCCCAGATTAAAACTTAAGGCTGTCTATATGTATGTTGCTGGCTTTTATACATATTCAATTTTTGCACTTGCATTCTGGGAAACAAGGCGATCAGATTTTGGGGTGTCAATGGCTCATCACGTGGCAACTGTTGTTCTCATTGTGCTATCTTACATATTCAGGTTAGTCTTAAAAATGTTGTTCTGATTGTGTTATCTTACATATTCATGTTAGGCTAAATAATGGATCAGGCAGGGTTATCCTCCGCCATGGTCTACTTTGATCCCTCCTATTAAACCATCAACTACATACACATACTTTGGGGTCACGCTGAATTGCTTGTATCTTTGAGTGACTTGGCTACCCTAATGGGAACAAATATGAAATCCTTACCACTAACTATTTAAGGTGTTTTGGCATTGCAAATTTCTTTCACTTCAAACAGGTTTGCTCGTGTTGGTTCAGTTGTTCTAGCCATTCATGATGCTAGTGACGTGTTCATGGAAACAGCAAAGATGTCCAAGTATGGCGGTTATGAGATGCTTGCTAATGTAGCATTTCTCCTATATGTTGTTTCATGGATAATACTTCGTCTTACATATTTTCCTTTCTGGATCCTTCGAAGTACAAGGTGAGTATAACTCTCTTGATGCAAGTTCTATTTATTGTAAAATGCATATGGAAATACTAATCTGCTAAGTGTATTAAGTGAAAAATTGATAAAACTTCTGATTTGGGATAAATATCACATCCTCTAACCTGTTGTTTTGTTCATTTGGAGCCACATATGTGTGTTAAATCTTCAGATTTTGCTTCACAATGAACCAAGACAATGATGGCAGTTGATTGAAATCTAATATCATCTCATGAATTTTTTATCCTCCAGTCCAAAGAGGAATCGTTTTACAAGATTGGAATTTTTAGCTATTGTGAAATAAGTGTTGCTTACTTTATTAAAAGATGTGCGATGCATTGGGAAGTTTTCTCCAATAAAAAGGTGAGATCCAGGAGGACTATTTATGTTAGTGAACTCTGCATATCTTATTCTTAAGTGTCTTTAATAAATGCGAAGGGCAATGGAGAGAGAGTTTCGGATTCATGGTTAGGATCACATTGAGAGCAAGCCTAGGAAGTGTGTGGGGCTTATTTGAGATTCTGGATCACTTAATCTCTAGACCTTTATGCTGAAACAAATTTAGGAGAATTTTTTCTTGTTTTCTGTTGTTTGTCGAATTGTTTATAAGATAATTTGATTTATTTTTTGTACAGATACTGTATGCTTCCATGTAGAAAGGTTTGCACTAACCGAAGTGTTTTCAGTCAAAACATAGTTTCATCATTTAAGTAATTAATTTGAGTAATATTTACTTTGTTGTACACCAGTGGGCCAGGTAAAAGACTACCAAATCCTGTTTAGCTTTTAAACTCTTATTAGCATGATGCACTGCAGCTTGTGAACTTTCTGTAATTATATAGTATAAACAACTATTCAAGGATTATTCTCTATTGTTAAATGTTGAGCCAGTTTATCTGCTGGAAAGTTTCATATGGAAGATGACCTTGAAGTAATTAGTCTGAAATCTTAATTTCCCCTTACATGGCAGCTATGAAGTTCTCTTGAATTTGGACAAAGAAAAACACAAGTTTGAAGGACCAATATATTATTATGTCTTCAACACTCTCCTATTCTCACTGCTTGTTTTACATATCTATTGGTGGATATTAATGTTCCGAATGCTTGTGAAACAAATCCAATCAGGGCAACTCGGCGAAGATATTAGATCAGGTAAGTGTTGTTTCTTTATAAGTTTCATTTGAAGCTTCCCCAACTAGATGCTGATCCACATCCAATTTCTTAATGATGGAACTAAGAGTGTATATTCTAGGCAATTAGCCAAATGTTCTTAAAAAGTTATGCTGGTCTAGTAGCGTTACAATGTTATACGGCATGACATTTTCTATTACTGCTATGCTATTTTAGAATGCACATACTCTAATTTACTGTTTTTGGAAATTCTTCCATTGTGTAGATTCTGAAGGTGAAGACGAACATGAAGATTGATGTACCTGGGAGATGCAATGCATAACCGAAGAAATCACCAAAAGAGAATTTGGTGCTCATGATGTCTTCAACTTCAGAACTAAACTTCATTATTGGGAACCAAACAGTCTGCTGATCTTGTAGACATTTGATTCCCCCAACGGGGCTGTGTTGTTGTACTATGAATTTATCATAGAAAAACCAGGCTAAACATGCTAAACATAGTAAACATGTACTTTACAGATTAGTATATGTTTTCTTCTCTTGTTTTAGAAGTGATTGTTGAGTGAATTGTCTTCAGGTCATGTAATTGGGTTAAATCATATCATTTATCGGTTGACCATGTTTTTAAGTGTTGACTACAGTTGTATAAGTAGGTCAAATATATGTCAATCAAGTCGTCTGATGGCTTGGTTACATCAAACATGCATTTGTATCAGTATATCCCAATTCATAGTGTGATCAGATTCCGAGTACGATCCAATTTGGAGTGTCTCATTGAGGTTTTTCTTGTGGAACAAGAACAATTGTCTCATGTTTTCAATCCAAGACTAAATTTTTTGGCTGCCTTATTCTTTGCTGAGCAAATTGTCTTTATCTGGTTGTGTTTGACTGCCAGAGCTGGTCAACCCAAGCCACCAAACTCAATCAAGTTTTAGCTTGCTGGTTCCACCAAACTCACTCATGTTAGTTGATCCCCCTGTTGACTCCAAGCGGCCTCTTCAAGCAGTTCACCCTCCCATCTCCTGCATGAAGCATATAAAAGGATGCAACGACTGCAACCCTTCTGCTCATATCCTCCCATCAAGCATCAACCGAGGCGAAGCAGACACAGCAGCAGCAAATCATGGCCAAAGGTGTCGGTTGCTCGACGCCTCTGCCGTTCGTCATGGCTCTTGTTCTCGCCACCGCGGCCATCACCTCATTGGCGCAAGACCCGTCGCAGCTGAGCTTGGGCTACTACTCGAAGACGTGCCCCACCGCGGAGCAGATCGTGCGGACGGAGATGGAGTGCGCGGTGAAGGCCAATCCCCGCAATGCGGCTTTCATCATCCGCCTCCATTTCCATGACTGCTTCGTCCAGGTCGCCTTCTTGACATCATTCATACGAACTGTCAATAGATCAGTAGTAGCTATAGTACTGAACTGCTGCAGCTCTTTAGGGTTGCGATGGATCGGTTCTCCTGGACGACACAGCCACGCTGATAGGGGAGAAGCAAGCAGACCAGAACGTGAACTCGCTGCAGGGCTTCGAGCTGGTCGACAAGATCAAGGAGAAGCTGGAGGCCGAGTGCCCCGGCGTCGTCTCCTGCGCCGATCTCCTCGCGGTAGCAGCTCGAGACGCCACCATTCTGGTATCCTTCAAACCACAAACTTGTCGTCATCCTTGGAAGACATGGATTCGAGAATTTCATCCTTTGAGATGAGCAGGTTGGAGGGCCGTACTGGGACGTTCCAGTGGGAAGGCTGGATTCCAAGACTGCAAGCCTGGATCAAGCGAACTCAGACATCCCAACTCCGCAGCAAGGGCTCGCCACCTTGATCACCAAGTTCTCAGCCAAAGGACTCTCGCCCACTGACATGGTAGCCCTCGTAGGTAAGATCACGGATCACTCTGATTCCTTACGGCCATCCATTCTTATCCCACGAGCATCTAACTCTGATCTCAGGTTCCCACACCATTGGCATGTCGAGATGTGTGAACTTCCGCGACAGGATCTACGGGGACTTCCAGCTGACGTCGAAGAGTGAAGCGTCGGCGCAGGTGTACCTCAGCAAGCTCAAAGAGACGTGCCCTACGGACGGAGGAGATGACAACGTCTCCCCCATGGACTACACCTCGCCCACCGTGTTCGACAACGCCTTCTTCGAGACCCTGATACAGGGAACCGGGCTTCTGAACTCGGACCAGGAGATGTATTCCAGCCTCTTAGGGTTCGAAACCTCCCACATTGTGGAGAAGTACTGGGCAGAGTCGATCTCCTTCTTCAAGGATTTCTCGGACTCCATGGTCAGGATGGGGAACATCACCAACCCTGCAGGTGGAGAGGTGAGGAAGAACTGCAGATTTGCGAACGCCTGAGCTCACCTACTTCTCTACAGCTTCGCTAAATATATACATATATACACATGAAGTCATACGGTTTGTCTGAGGCAACATAAACATTCGACGCAGATGAACACCGTCAATGATTTATTTCCTCATGTATGAAGATCTATAGGAGTCAAATTCTCATATATGAAGATCTACAGAAGTCAAATTCTACTAATAATGAGAAAATTGTTTCGGTTTTCTTATTTTTAATTAAAATTAAGTTTAAAATAAAATTCATCATTTAAAATAAAAAAATCATAATTGCCGAGTGTATTATCACGGCATGCGTGGCACATGGGGCCCATCATTCGTCTCCGGTTACCACACTCAGGTTGGTCAGCCCGGTGGGACTTTAACGGGTGAACAGTAGTACTGCATGTTAGCAGATCCGAAGACATTAACGGCTGATCTTTTAGACATTAATAGTAATCGATCTTTGTCAACGTCAGTCTTTAAAAGTGTCTTACCGCCACGTTGACATCAAATCTAGTCAACGTCAGTCTTACCGTCACATTGACAAAGCATAGGAAGAACCCTCATCAAATAAATCCATAATCTCTATTGTTTAAGATCAAACTCGTAAGCCGGGGGACATTAGTGTGATTTTTCTTAAGAAATGGATTAGATCGACTCAATTTGCTATGTCAAAATGACGATCAAAATCTACATCAACGAGTTCTTCTGACACCAAGAAATCCATGTCGCAGTTCAAAGCTTGTAAATATGCTGCCTTCAGGAGTGTGATGGACGACATTAAACATGCCGAATTCTTGAGAGAGAAGAAAAGAGGCGGAAAGAAGCACAAGATCCATGGCGTTGAATCATGACATCCTTTACTTTGAGTCCTTCAGACCTATATACAACAAAACTCGCAGTCATACCGATGTCAAAGAACTACTTTCGTGTTTGATCCATGGAGGTTCAACTCAAGAACTTGCTATCTTTGTGCAATGTCCATGGCCTAGTCTGGAAAGGCTCTCATGATAAGAGCAAATACAGGAAAGATGGTAATTGCATTTTACCTCCTATCTTGTAATCATTGATCACAGATAATTCCAGTGCTTTTTTCCATGCTGTTGATTCTGTAGTGTTATGAACTCTTACCGTGGCCCAGAGAGCTCAACTGCTTGGACAAGTAACGACGAGTCATCCGTCAGGTTCGAGTAGCACCTTTCCGAAAAGGCAAACTCAGGCACCTTGAAATTTTGGGAGTCGACTCTCTGAGAGGCTTCCCATCTCTCCACAAGTCCATCGCCTTCGAGCATTCGCACAACCTCTGACATTTTGGGCCGGTGGCCGGGAAGAAACTGTGTGCACAGGAGTGCTACTTGTACCATCTCCTCAAGCTCGATCCTATCGTAAATGTTCTTCAAGTTCTTGTCCATGAGCACGTCAAGCTTCTTCTCTTGATGGATCTTCTTTACCTGAATGATCAAGTAGACAAATAGTAAAGGCACATAAAGTGGCTTCAATTTGTGAGTCTAATGTCATTCTTACCCAGTCAAGCATGGTGCCTTTCTCATTCACCGACTTCCCGAATTCTAAAGCTGTCCGACCGGTGATAAGTTCGAGGAGGAGAATTCCAAATCCAAAAACATCAGTTTTTTCGGAAGACTGGCCTGTAGAGAGATACTCGGGTGCAATGTGTCCGACGGTGCCTCGCACAGCTGTAGTTACATGTGAATCCCTGTGATCCATAAGCTTTGCCAGCCCAAAATCTCCAACTATGGCCTCACAGTAATCATCTAGCAAAATATTGGCGGCCTTTACGTCTCTGTGAATTATCTTCGGATCACACTGCTCGTGAAGGTAGAGTAGACCTCTTGCAGCTCCCACTGCGATCCTTTTTCTCGTAATCCAATCCAATGGTGGTTTTCCTAAGGAAAACAAGAAATGGATAATGATCGTAACAGTATGTATTTGGCTACTTTTGAGCCACTAAATCAAAATTTCATTCATATCAAGTTTCCATATTTTGAAAACTTAGAGGACATTTAGTGACTCGAAAAATTAATGTTGGAAATTTGAGTAAATCCAATAATTTCATTAAGAAGCCAGGATCAGATAGTCACCTTTTAGTCGGGAAGCAACACTTCCATTTGACATATATGGATATACGAGTAATCTCTCCGAGGCAGTCATACAGAATCCGTGCAGTCTGAGGAGGTTTCGATGCACAGCCAAGCTTATCATCTCAACTTCAGTCTGAAACTGGATCTCACCACCCACAGCACTCCCATCCTTGAGCCTTTTGACGGCTACCAGAGTCCCATCTTTTAGATGACCTTTATAAACAATTCCAAAGCCGCCTTTGCCTAGTATGTTCTTGCTGCTGAAGTTATCTGTTGCGATCTGAAGCTCGCGAAACTGAAATTTCTTCAAATTTCCGAGGCAAACTTCCTCGTCATGTTGCTCTGAATGTATCAAAGAGATGATTAATTTGTGAACATATGTCGATAAATGATTTATAGAAGGATGTGTCTCATAAGTGAGAAAGAGTAGCAAGATTGACGATGCTAATGCATTCTTGTGCCTTTTACTCACCATCAACTTCGAATAGGATTTGTTGGTTATGTCTTTGCCTCCACCAGAGAATCAACCCAATGACAAAAACTATTGAACAGACTAATCCAAAGCTGGAACCAAGTGCTAAAGCAACTTTATGATTTCTTGGTTTTCCTTGGGTTGCAGTGCCTTCATGATAAATGGATGGAAGTCAGAATTGAAAGACACAAGCCAGTTCTGTAACTTACATGAAACAAAAACTGTAGCATCCACAAGCACTAGGCATCCGACACTGAAGAACAGATAAAGGAACTTGATCAAGAGACTTGTGATAACAATGATGTGGAAGAAAATGCAGACCCGTCGTTTTAGTCAAAGTCCAAAATATTTTCAGAATATTAGTCAAGATAGAAAAAAAATTGATGGCTAAGATCTAGCAAATAGCTTAAAATTGGTAGATAAGAAAGGATTTTGTGCATGTGCAGATGGAATTCTAAAATGAATGTAAAAGAATTAGTTGTGACCATATTACCAAGGCTCGAGAATTAATTTTCTTCAATTAAAATATAATTCTTATCATTATCTTACATGTTAATTACTCATCGACAATAAGAAAAGTCAATTATCACCTTGTGTACTGATTTGCAGGCACGCAAGAGATATAAAACAGGTGCACGATACAGCTTATGTTAGATTTATGTTAGAATATTCTCTGAAGCATCAAAATGAAAAATATATATCGACTAGATAATATCTTGGATAATGTAAGTACTCTCTGTCTCTGAATTGTTCAAGTTGTAGGAAATCGGCATGGGCATTGTCCCGAAGCAGTCTTTCTCTGAACCAGTAGCACAGATTAAAGGATTTCCAACAATACTGCAAAATGAAATTTAAAAGACAAGTTAAATATGTTCCTAGTTTAAAGAAAGGATTTTACTGAACACTGTTACTACTTTAAATAGACAATCTGAATAGAAAGGATGCAATAAGGTTTTTTTATATTGTTGGACCAATACTAGCACAAATATATCAGTAAACAGATTTAACTGGCAGTGACTGTAGCCCACCAGTCTCTCTGGAAAACTAGACACATTGCAGAAGCAGGATTCAGAATACTGCAAAAGCAAAGAAGCTATCATTTGGCCTACCCAATTGAATGCCCACTGGCTACATGATACTATTTTACTTGGTCAAACAATGGAACAGTGCACCATACGTTCAAGAAAATAAAGTTCATGGAAAACAAGAAGGGCTCCAGCAGACTTACTTGAATGTCCTAGCTGGAAAACTTGGCACAGGACCACTCAAATTATTGTAAGACAAGTCCCTGAATCATGCAACAGATGAGTCTCAGCTACACAGTTCCTTCAAGCCGAATTCATCATATTACCCAGGTCATGTGACTTACAGGAGTGCAAGCTGTGTCAGGTTGGTCAAAGACACAGGAAATTCTCCAGACAAACTATTGTTATTGAGCCTCCTGATCTCATGTAATCAAACAAATACAAAAGATTGAGTGGTTATATGGGCCAAAAAATAAATTCCAGCATTTTGTACTCACAGGTACTGGAGGCTACTCAGGTGGGTGATAGAGGTAGGGATGTCACCAGTGAAATAGTTGCTGGAGAGGTCAAGAGTTCTAAGCTTTGACAGCCTTCCAATCTCTTGTGGGATGGGTCCTGATATGTTGTTGTTCTGGAGGAGACTACAAAGTAACATTCCCTAAATCATCGATGTGAGGAAGTTTTCACCATTGACTATCTGGAATGAGAACTTACATAATCTCAAGATTTGTCAAGTTGCCAATGCTTGGAGAGAGTGTGCCGGATAAATTTTGGCTTGGAGATCCTCTGAGAAGATTAAAAAAAAAATATATATATATATATATATATATATATCTATATTCTTCCTTCACTTGAAAGGAAAAAGTAGAACAGGAGAAGAAAGAACAGTGTGGCACTCACAGTCCAATAACTAAATTCTCAGGTGAACATGTAACCATGGTCCAGCTGCATGGATCCACAGAGTCCTGATCCCAGTTCTCAAGAACACTATGGGGATCCTTTAGGGATGCTTTTACGCCCATTAGAGCTTGAACTGCAAAACAAACAAGGAAAACGCATCACAGAGAAATGTCATGATCTCCTCTTCACAGAAAGAGAAGAAAGCTCAAGCCATGAAAGATGACAGAGTTACCTTCATAGTTGACACCTTTAGGGGAGAGAACAGCAGCTGCAGGAGACCAAGTCCAGAGGAAAACCAAGACTAACAGCCCATACTCTCTTCTCTTTGCACTTGCTGAATCACCAGCCTCCAAAAAGAAGCTTCCCATGATGAGAAAAACACAAACTTTGGGCTCTTGGAGCTCACAGAGAAGGCTGAATGGATTCCGGAATCAAATCATTAATGTGCTCCTCTCTGTTCCATCCTCTCTTCTGGACTTAGTCTGGCCATGGCTTGGAAGAAGCTTGCAGCCTTTCCTAGCCATCAGCTCCCCCTGCTGTCAGAAGCAAGTAAAGAAGAAAGAAAAAGAAGGAAACACACATGCCTGCCACCTTATGATGCTAGAATGCTAAAACGAGGAAATGGGCATAAAATATAAGAAAATACAAGCTTTATAGTAATGAGTGAGATCCTTGGTTGAATGACTTCTATAAAGAGAAAATTCCGCGGTGGGGGCAGCCTATACATTTGCTTGGGAAGTGTGTTGAAGGAGAATTCTCTGACAGATAAAAGAATGGGAGAAGAAATTAAGTGGGATGGGACAGAGTTGCTTACTGACATGAGACATCAACCAGTATAGAAACGAGAACAGTATGTAGAGATAGGTCTTGTTGCTTGAAGCAGGATTACACCAGATCAAAGATGCATTACAGTGTGTATGTAGCAGCAGTAAACTCCATTGAAGATGTAGTCCACAGGTCAGCAAGAAGACAAAAGATGGCAATGGTTAAGATGGTCATGACAACTTTGCTCAGTATCTTTTTATTGAGCTGTCACTGCCCAAAGACAAAACAGATGGATTGTGCAGCACCATTGGATCTGGATGCCAGCTTTGGGATCCCTGAAAGGATGATACCAAGTGACATATGAACAAAACTAATATAAAACCCATGAGAGAGAGAGAGAGAGTGCACTTTACTTGCGAAGCTGGAAACATGGTGCTTGATGATCCCACCAAAAGCACAACTTAGTACTGTAATTTATTAACCAGGACTATTTGTTAATAAAAACAAGCATAAATTCTGATGCTGCTAACTTTTACTTTTCCCCACTCTTACCACTACAACATTTCACTTCAACTCACAGCAAATCTCTTGTTCTAATATGGTGTTGGCAGGAAATTAGCACCTCAAACTCTCTATGATCTGAGTGCTGCTTGAACCATCAACTGGTTTTGTCAGTTCACCAAAGGAGATCCTGCACATGAGCTACCGACATGGCAAGCATGTGTGGCAACTCAAAGCCTCATACCCAACAAATGAGAGACTGGGGGAGGAAACAGAAATAGGAACAGGGGAACGAGGGTAACTAAAGGAGTAGAGGAGAAAATTGGTGGTTTTGCCATGGTCTGAGGTGGAACCTGGTTATCCCAAGGGGAGACCTAATTCCCAAGGCCTTGGCCATCTCCCTAGAATTCCTTCTTCTGTTTCTTTGCCGGGACAAACCCCGAGACACTGGCTAGAAGCTCCAGACCAATGCTTGCAGATCTTTGTTGGGTCCTTCTTTCTTTATTCTACCTCTGAAATAACAAGATAGTGAAGTTTTGCAGCACAGTAGTATGCTTGCGAGTCGTAGAGCGCATGCATACTACTTTCCATGGTGCTTTTTCCCACTACATTTTCCCAACAACTCCTTGCAAGGAGGCATCACCAGGCTCACATGACTCTACACAGCTGGGCAAACCAGCAGGCTGTCAGCAGCAGTGAAAGAAATCACAAAGAAGAGAGAAAAAGCAAGCCTTCAAAAGCAAAAGCTCTCTCTCCTCCAGAATAATCTGATCATGTGGGACACAGGGGAGAGAAAAATATTTGGGCAAAAATATGCTTACGAAGAATCACCACTCCTATCATACAGTGTCACTTCCAGAGAACAGCAGAACATGTTGGTTGAAGAAAATTAACACACTAGCTTGCTATTCAGCATTATATTTGTTGCTATATAGCAGACTAAGGAAGCTGATGACAGTATCACCAGCCAATATTTCATGCTGGTTGATTTGTTTTTCCATTGAACTGAGAAAATATATTTATATTCAATTTAATCCTTCTGTTGGGATAGCTTATCCATTTACTTGATGCTTAAATCAAAACTAATAAGCTTATAATTATCCTTTAATATCTAGTGAAACATTTGCTCACTTCTTCTTGCATGTTGCTCTAGCTAAAGAGATAACAAAGACTCTGCTTCTTTTGTTGGCTTGATTACCAAAAAAGCTTCAATTATTCTATACGACTTGGACGGATGTCATGGGTCAAAGTAAGGAAGAGCTACAGATAGCAAAGACTTTTCCTAAGAGCTTCTCCTCATACACGCATGTTTCCGAAAGGAAGAAGATGATGATTGGAGATATCAACTATTAATCATTTATTCCTGAAATTGAATCTAGTTTTTATCATTTAGATCTGCAGAAGAAAAGGAAATTAATTTGCTCGAGCTGGCATTATCTCTGACCTTGAAGACCAGACTGAGAGAAAGCCATCCTCGCCCACATGCTGTTGTTGGCTCACAGCGCAGTGGCTTTTGTCCTCCTCCACCTCCTCCTCCTTCTCCTGTCGCATGCCCCGTTCATCACCCACTCGGGGAACATCCCCACTGTTCCTTGTTTGTGCTGGAGGTCTTTGCGGCATGCAGACTCCTCGATTCGTTGCTATCATCGCAGTACGGACTCTACAAGGAGTTCGCTGTGATGCCCGCTGTTCGCTGTATCATATGATTTATGGATCTTTGTTTGTAGCTACGTGAGAAACGACTCCAGTCCTAGTCCTCGATCGTCTTCTTATCCTGACACTGCCACCATGGATATCGAGTTTCTTTTCTTCATCTATCATGAGCTTAGAATGGAACGGCAACTCCATTGCCCATTACTCGACAGCCTATCACTTACTGTTGATCTGCACGCCATGTTGCAGATCATCAAACATCCTGTTATTGATAGCCATGGTGTTTTTGTTGCTACGGGCGAACATTGGCTCAAACATACTTAGTATTGACTTATTGGAGATGGGGAAGGCGGAGAAGATATACTCTGGCTTATTGATTGAGACGTGAAGTTTATTCAATAAAAAATAATAAAATAAATACCAACATGTTGATGAACCTTTATGCCATGACCAAGGTGTCAGTATGACTCAGTCCAATCTTGGATATGCAATGTTGCTCACGCGGATGCTCGGGTCACGTCGACGTCAGGTCGGGTTAGGTCCAAGCGTCGTCTCCTGAGCGCGGTTCTCCTTCGATGGGTTGCTACTGTTTCGTTGTCAATTCCTACATAAAGGTTGAGGTCGGGAGGGAAATTTCCCGACTCGATACCTCTGAAATTTAAATCAGTGTTGTGGAGTTAGGGGAAGTTGAGTCCCCTTTCATGATAAAAGAGGGTTAGCTTTTATACCTGCGAGGATGAATTTGCCATACAGAGTCAATTAACTGCGACTGTCTTCTCAGGCGATTGGTTTAAACTTCTATGCAAGCGTCGATCGACCTGCACAGATCGATGCTACACGACGTCGCCTCGAGCTTTTCAAGACGATTGTACCATGATGATATCGTTCGTACGAAGGGGGCAACGTGCGATTGCCCGCCACGTGTGTGCTACGTGCCACATCGGACATGAAGTTCCATATCGGCATCATCGTGTCTACTTGCCTGGCTCTACGTGAGAGATACTAAAATGTGTCATATCACAACACAAATTATATTTACGTAAAATTTACTAGATAAAATATGATTAGGATCTCCGTAGTACGTACAGATAGAGATATCTCGAATATATTTATAATAAAAATATTATCGAAAGTACAAAGATCGATTTCGAAAGTTTGAATTACCATCTAAATGAAAGTTTAAAATCAACATTGAGATCAAAATCAAAAATTCAAACAACCATTAAAACTAGAGTTTGAATATTCACATCCAAATTGGGATAAAAATCTAAATCACCATCTAGATCAAGTTAGATGTAGATAGGCAAATGTGGATTTGTAACAGAGCGTCCATGGTATAGTGATTAAACGATTAGTTTTAAACCTAATAAACTTGGGTTTGAATCTTAATAGTAAGATATCAATTAATTTAGTTGGTAAATATAGTATTTTTTAGAATCTCGCCCTCCTCAAATACATCATATCCACTTTAAACTAATATACCGCTTGGTTTTATAATAAAATTATTTAATATTAGCCAATGGCTCGTTGCCAAGTTTCATAGGTGTGACAATGATTAGGTTTTATAAGCATCCACTTGACATCATTTTCAACTTTAGACACGGAGAAAAGGAACTCCAACGTCATGCGAAGAAAACTATGGCTCACAACATGGTTGGTGAGTTTGCTTGTTGTATCTATCTCACACAATTCTATAACATAGTCTCTTGTCCATTTCCTAAATCAACAAGTCAATTAGTACTAACAAATTATTGTTGGTTCAATAATTTTTTTTTATTAATTAGCTCAATAAGATTTGGATACCATTGAATTATTTTTGAACTTATTATTCAAAAATCCCCTTTCACTAATGACATTCTCTTGAAAAAAAATAATAAAATATTATTTTACCATATACAATCATAATATTATCGATTTCTTTCTTTTTCTTCCTATAATTTTGTATTTCATCCTTTTTAGGATCGTAAATAATAAAAAACGGTAAACAGTAATATTTTTAATGTTTAACAGTAGATCCCAATGAAGAAATGGTGTTACTTCTGTATCCTCTACAATGACAATTTTAAATTGGGACAAGCTAGCCTCGCATCATCGCCGTCCATTTACTTAGATCCCACATCTTTGCCATTTGTTTTTGTGATGAGCTGATGTCGTGGGCCAGTTCATTTGGTTGGTGAAATAATGTTTGGAGAGGATCCACCACTCGGTTTGGGAATCACTCCGTCGCACGTGGCCAACACGTGTTACATACGTAATTCGACTTCTCGTTCACCCATTCGCCGACCCCGTCCTCCAAGGAGCGCCTCCGCTGCAGCCGGCTCTCCTCCTCCATCTCGGGCTCGATAGTTCTATAAATTGGTTCCATGCCCAATTGACCTCGGTTTAGTCGATAGTTCTAGAAATGACACCAAGGAAAGGATTTTGATTGGGTGCTTCTATAGATTCAAGGAAAGGATTCGATCCCTAAAGCTCGTCTTCGGCTTTCTTCGAGGTCTGCCCTTTTCGTTCCCTCCCCGCCTACTACTTTCGACGCGAATGACTCGGAAAAGTTTTAGGGATTTCAGATCGCGATTGAATTCGATTAGTAAAAGATTGCAATTTCCGGATCGATTTTTGATGGTCTCTTAGGATGTTTGCTCGATCTTAATCGCGTGGTTCTTCTCTGATGCCGTCTTTGGGTTTTTGT